TGTCTAAAATTTGTGCCTCAACTAACCTATTTATAATGGAGAATAAATGAATCGAAATGTGAAGACCTGTAACACCCCAATTTAGGGGCTAAATTTAAGAAAATATAAATTGGTGGATTTAATTTGGTATTTTGAAAGAAATAAGGGATTAAATTGTAAGATTTCAAAGTTGATAGATCGTTTTAAGAAGTACAGGAAGTTCAGTGGCTAAACTCTTGGTTTAGCCATTTTTAATTATGAGATGTTATAAACCCCCAGACTCCCGTATGTTTCTGGAAAATTTTCCAGTTTTCCTCTCCCGTTCTCCCTACTTCCAACTCCGATCTACTCGCCGTCTGACCTCCAAACGACAAGCCGAAATAACCATCGTGTTCGTTGTCAACCGAGGAACAAAACCCCTCAAACCTTTCGTCGTGAATCATCGCCGTTCGTCGTGAATTTCAGTCGGAAGTATCGTCGGTAATAACTCGGTTTTAGTTGGTTTTTCATCGATTCACGACGATCGGGTCATCCGTTTACGACACCTCTCACACCATCGTGTTCCTTGTGTCGTTCCGAGTCCACCGGTGTTCTCCTTTTTCTCCGGAGGAGGCGGCGCGTTGGGAGGTGAACCGGTCAAACTTCCCGATTTGTTGAAATCGAGCTCTCCGCCGTTCAAAATTGTGAACCGAGCTTTGTAAGTATCTCGAAATCGCTCAAAATAATTTTTAGAAATTTTTCCGGGATTTTATCACTGTTCACGCGCCTCCACGCGCCGCCACTGCGCGTGGGGAAGGGAAAAGTGACCGGTTTGACCGGTTTTGGAACTGTTTTGACCGGTTTGACCGGTCACAACCCGACCCGACCCATTGACCCGACCCGACCCGTTTACCAACCCGTTGACCCGACCCGGCCCGTTGACCCGACCCGTTGACCGTTGACCCGTTGACCGATGACTGGAGTTGACCACTGTTGACCAAAACTTTGAATGGCTTTGATCGGGCATTAAACGACCTTTGACTTCGACCGAGTATACCTATCCTGACATTTTTCGACGTTCCAAATCTGATTCCGCTGTCCGTTTTTTGAAATTCAAACCCGAAGGCCTCGAAATTGTCAGTCAAACCCGTTGACTTTGATTTTGACCAAAAATTCCAAATTTCCGAAAAGTCATATTTTATGCTTTCAACGTCCTGAATCCGAATCCGAAGTCCGTTTCGCCAAATTCGAACTCGGTAAGCCGTATTTCACTGATTTATCACCCGATTCGATCCGTTTATCGTAATTAAGCTCCGTTTCTGATATAATTTATGTTGATATGTATATGAGGAATTATTGGAAGTTGAATTGAAGATCAAAGGCGTTCGAATGGAAATTTTATGGTCGATCAGTATTGCACGGAAATCGAGGTAATACTTTACTACCTCTTTATGCTTTATAGAACATGTTGGTATTGGTAAATGCATGAATGGAAATGTTTGGTCTTATATGTGTAATAAATGAAGATCTACACTAGATATGAATACGGTAGAAAATAGATAACTGAATATGGCTCAGATGACTATTATAAGAAATTGGAGGACAGTTGGAATTAAATTACAAGTTCTGAAATTAAGTGATAAAAGAATCAATCATGGATTGTAGATTATAATTTATCTCATTAAAGGTACTTAGATGATAAATTATGAGAATATTTCGATTAGGTAAAATTACGAAATTACCCTTATGGTGGAAAATGACAAGAATTGTCTCTGGAAGTAGATTAATAAATCTGAAAAGAATTATTGATCTGCTAAAACTATTCATGTGCATAAGGAAATGTTAGTTTTACTTGGAAATTATGGATAACCGGTTTTTAACACCAAGAGGGTTTATGCAAGATACTATAAGTCTGTTAAGGAATCACTTCAAGATCAGAGAAGGTTCGGGAAAGCAATTAATCATAGGATCTCTAAATTATATTATTTTCGTTAAAAGCTAATATCGAAATTATCTGGTTAAGAATGACAGAAATACCCTTAAGAGGCCGAATAGTCTGAGTTAACCCTGAATGAGAAAATACTTAGAGGATTCGTACTTAAGTCGATTAAGTACAGATTTGATTGTTAAGATCATGACTTAGCAGGAAAATTCATGATATTCCGTTTGTAAAATTTGAGAAGACACTTGACTCGAAAATATCCGAATAATGAGTAAATACTTGAAGAATAATTTAATGGGGGTATTTTGCTGTCAGAATTGTTCGAAAGGACTAAAGTAAAGATATAAATTGGAATTAAATAATAAGACCGAATGGAGGAAAAAGATTGAAATACCGTGGATCTATAAAATGACCAAAATACCCCTGTAATGGAAATGACTCAAGAATGTCACCAAGCTAAGGAATGATTGGATATCCTCGAGCTCTGAAATGAATGGAATAAAACTGAACATCAAAATTTCCAAAATACCCTTATGGCCTAAAGTAAGTAAATGTCTTGGATTAATTAAAGAATCCAAATAAGCATAGGTATTGGCCTACCTTTAAAAGTAATGGAACACAATTTAAGTGAGTAGATCAACCCTAAAGCTATATCAATACCTGAATGACAGAGATATTACTGGAATGCGTGTTCGTCTTCTTAAGTTTGACTCGATGATAAATTTTAGAAGTATTCAACTTAGTTCAACTCTGGATCGCATTCAGTACTAAGAATTGGACGTTTGCACGACAAATCAGCCACAAAGACCAAATTGAATGTAACGGAAGTGCAGCATGTGTCTGAAAAATCAGGAACGCTTGAATTACTCTGGAAAATCCCGAAGTATCTGGAATGGACTTGAATGCTAAATAAATTAAGTAACCACAAGGACTGAGGATTGAATAAGTGAGTTGGATGAATCTAGAAATGTTAATGAACATATATGATGTAATGTTCTTATGGATTATGAATTACAAAATCAAGTACGTCAGTATTTCATGATATGGTGAAAACGTGAACATTAAATAAAGACATTAGAAGATTTATTCAACGTTAATTTCGAAAATGAAATATGAACAAGAATTTGTGGTATTAAAGGGTAAATACCCTGGAAGGAAAATGAATTGACCAGTCGACATAGATTGTTAAGGTTCTGAATCTTCGTTCTCAAGTTGTTCGATTATCCGATCAATTGACATGGATGCAAAGGATTCTGAATACCCTTCTGATTACGTACAACTTCTGAAAATTGTCCGAATAAGATATGATCCTGATAATTCACATTCTGAATAACTGATGATTCCGTCAGTTATTGAACTTTTTATAATAGTGATTCTAAATTCCGACATTCTATCGGTATACTGAAGATCCATATTTCTCTACTTGCTAAGATTATCCAGTACCTTTGAATAATATTTGTAAACTCTGGTGTGTTCCCTACTTATATGAATATTTTATCTGATTTCTGATTTGAATTCTGTTTTGACATCTGATCTGAAATCTGTTCTGATTCCTAACCTGGATTCTGTTCTGATATCTGATCTGAATTATGTTTTGATTTCTGATATCTCCGTTTACCGACGGATAAATGTTTTATCTGGGGGTTTATTGTTGGAGGAAGATTATCTGCAGACTCCTCGACTTTGTGCTCAGGGTCTAAATGGCATGTGCGGTTGGGTGTATGGTTCTGGGGAACCTACACATTTATGATGTGAACGGATGGGGGTATATATATATATATGTTTTAAAAGATCTGTATCTTTTTACTGAATTTTTCGAGAACACACTAGAAAACCTATTCTGATCTCCTCAACTCAGTCATCTGAAATATTTCTCTGAACTGAAAGCTCATTGTCCGTTACCACCCGAAATATCAGTAGAATCTCTGCTCAGCATAAAAATATGTAAATGCTCAGAAGCAATAAGGAAATAAATATTTATCTGTATCTGCACGTTCATCAGCATCATCTGGTAGTTCTGTATTACTGAGCTTTCCAAAGCTCACTCTATTACTCACCTTTTCAGGTTAAAAGAATTGTACCAGTGCATCTATCGACTTCAGTAAGGGAGTTCTTCCGGCGTTGTTGCAGAGTATGGTACATGTGATTAGGGGGCATGTAATTATATTTTGATTTATATACGAGTCTGGAAATATGTTTTATTTTTAAATAGTGACAAATGATTTTATAAGTTTACATGTTCTGATAAAAAGATTTAAAATTTCCGCTATTTTTACAATGGGTCGCTCCGGTGGCCCTAATGTGACTTTCCGGATCGGATCGGGCTACCCTTATCGGTCTGTGGGGGTTACAAGACCTTTTGATGAAGAGGACATTTCATTAAAAGAATTATTAAAAAGTTAATATATAATTGAACAGATGTAACTTTAAATAAAAAAAATCTATTCACCAAATAACATGACTTATTATAATAAGTCTATTAACTAAAAAACATGATTTATTATAAACAACATTAATTTTATTCAATTATTTAATATTTTTCCAACACAAGATGGTATGGTTCACATCAGAAGAATTTCAAGTTCTAAAGTAGGCTTTGAATGAATTATGCAATCTTTTTTCGATCTTGCTGTTTTTTCTTGGATGAAATTATAAAACTATGGTTTTGGTAATCCAATCCAACTCACAAATATAAAAGAAATTTTCGTAACCCAACCCAATTTTTTAGCAGATCTAAAGACCGTGTGCGAAGGATTGGTTATATAAATGGATTTTTCTTGAAAACCAAGCAGGAGCTTGAATAAATAAATAAATAAACAAAGGGTATATCTCAACCATTACTATTGTTATATTTTAATTATTTAATTAATATTATTTTTTAAATCACATTTAATGTTATGATTTGATATTATTTTAGTCATTTATAGTTAAAAGATTAACAGAATTATTAACACTTTTTTAATAATATTATAGTATTATAATGACACATTTATATTATTATTAATTTTTTTTAACGGTGAGTGATTATTAAGATATATCAAAACTAAACGGACGTAGCTTACCCATCAATAAATTACTAGGAAAGTGCGAGTGTTTTCTTTTCTTTTCTTCGAGGGGAAACACGCTTTTGATTTTCTGACTACGCCAACAACCATTTCTGGAACGTTCTAGCTCTTCATCTCCTTCCCCTCGAACCCATTAAAACTCCATACTCTGTCGTCAATGCCCTGAATCCATATGGCTTTGGATACCGACTCACTCACTCCCCCAAAACTATCCCTTTCCGATACAGAGATCGACTGGTCTAGGTAAATCAACAAATGCTTTCACCTATCATCCTCAACAAAAGAAAAATGCTTAAACTGACTCTGGGTTTCTGTTTTTTCCTTGTAAATTGTTGGGGTTTCCATTCAGGTTGGACAAGACAAGATTTCATGTTATCGGGGCTGTCCTCTTCACAGTGCAGCAAGGATTAATACATCCGACGGCTGTCGTCAAGACAAGAATGCAAGTGGTTGATTCTAGGTTCTCCAATATGCCTGGAATTCTTGTGTTCAAGCATATATTGAGACATGATGGTATCCCTGGCATTTTTCGAGGTTTTGGAACATCAGCCATTGGATCATTGCCTGGTAGGGTTCTGGCTTTGACGTCCCTTGAAATGTCAAAAGATTTGATTTTGAAGTATACCCAAGGCTGGAATATGCCTGAAACAACTCGTATTGGCCTTGCAAATGGGGTGGCTGGCTTGTTTTCCAGCTTGATCTCTTCCCTCTACTTTGTGCCATTGGATGTGGTAGGTCATTCCCATAGTACAGCAACGTTACTACGTGATTTGTTTCTTAAATTTAACTATGATTTTAAATTGCGGTGTCACAAATATTATCGTTGACTATTTGGTCCGCTTGCTAAATAATGTTGCATTATCAGATATGCCAGAGACTTATGGTGCAAGGACTGCCTGGAGCAACGTTTTACACTGACCCTTTTGATGTAGCCCGGAAAGTGATAAAAGCTGAAGGATTTCGTGGACTGTATCGAGGTTTCGGATTAACAGCTTTGACTAATTCCCCGGCAACTGCACTTTGGTGGGGTGCCTATGGTGCTGCCCAACGGATCATTTGGAGGTGAACTTAACAATGGAAAACAAGTATTATTATTAAGTTTAGTAATGACTTTGATTATGCCAACTCAAGCATTTATTAAATGAACACTCATTTATAGGAGCCGGGGTTATAGAGATGACTCAGATAAGAAGCCCTCTCATGTGGAGATGGTAGCTGTGCAGGCCACTGCAGGAATGGTAGCTGGTGCTTGTTCCTCTGTTATCACCACTCCCATTGACACCGTAAAGACACGGCTGCAGGTAATGTTTTGTTCTCTTTCAATCGAATCCCTGCATCCTTCATAGGGAAATTAAGAGAGATATGAACTTTGTTTATCTTGGATAGTATGCCGCAGATTGAAATATAGACTGATTTTGGACACCGGTTATTTGTTCTTTGGCCTTATTTTTGTTCAAGGTCATGGATGATTACGGTGCTGCGAGACCGTCAGTACTCAAGACTACAAAGACACTCTTGAAGGAAGATGGGTGGTGGGGTTTCTACCGGGGCTTCGGTCCTCGGTTCCTAAATATGTCACTTTATGGAACTACGATGATCGTTACGTATGAACTGATAAGTATGTCGACCTTCGTATTGACTCATTTTGGTTATTGGCAATCTAGAACTTGATTGCAGGCATGTGTTCTTATTTTGCACCCTGACATGTTAGAGTAACTTGAAGTTTTATCGATAAAAAAACTTGGCATTTGAATTCCAAACCGTTATCGATATTGTTTCTACAGGGGATTCGGTCCCTGGTTCCTAGTGATTGTTATGTAATGGTAAAAGGGTTATTTGGCAGTGCATTTTTCAGCTTTGTATAACATGTTATGTCTCTTGTTTTTTTGGCAGAGAGGTTATCTATAAAGAACAGTTAATGTTCTTCAACCGCGGATCTGATCCTGGGAGCTTTTTCTACTTCATCTAAGGGCATTTCAGACATGGAATGAAGGTCTGTATTCTTTTGAATTACTTTGGATTTTTTTCAAGCAAATAATGGTGATACGGTAGAGTTTCGATTAGTTTGATTACGGAGCTTTGAACGATGTTAATTGATTTTATAGCAGCTGTAATTGGAGACTCAAGGGTTCCTTTTTGTCAATTGTAGTATGCGAGAAGGCGAAAATCATTCTTTTTGTGGTCATAAGGAATGCTGAACATGTGTGTTAATGGAAGCAGAGTATATGTTTCTAACAGTCATTGTATTCGCACTTAGATGCAAACAAAACTCGATTCAATTTCAAAAATTATTAGTTTTATTTAATGTTAATCGAGTCGAGTCAATTCAAATTTTAATTTCGGATTTTGAGTTTTATTCAAGTTCAGATCTTATTAATTCGAAAAATTAAAAAAAAAATCCAATTTGACTGTTTTATAATTTAGTTATTGATATTTTTATGAGAAAATCGCCTCAGTGACCAAAAAAAAGTTATAATATACGATTTTAACCAACTTTTTTTGGATTTGTCAAAATGACCAACAAAATCGCAACGCGAAATAAAAATCGCAACGCGATCCCCAGAATCGCAAATCAGTTTCCAAAATCGCAACGCGAATATGAAAATCGCAACGCGAACACATAAATCGCAACGCGTATCCGTAAATCGCAACGTGTATCCGTAAATCGCAACGCGTATGGGTAAATCGCAATGCGTATCCGTATATCGCAACGCGTATCCGTAAATCGCAACGATAATACATAAAATCGCAACGCGTATCCGTAAATCGCAACGCGATATTTAAAGCGCCATTCTAATCGCTACGCGTATTTTATTTTCAAATTACAAAAAGAATATTAAGACAAAATCCCGTAATCGCAACTCATAACCTAAAACCTAAAATCACAACTCAGTCCCATCTCCATCTCTCACTCTCTACGGCGAAGAAATCCGTCCCCATCTCCGAAGATTTCCGTCCCCATCTCCGGCGAAATCCCTCACAACCATTCACGGTCAGAAATCCCTCACAATATTCAGAAATGGAAAATCAACCTCCGAGGGTTAGTTTTTTTAATTATTTTTATTTTGAAATGTTTGCATTATTGTAGGTTTTTCATATTGGAACTGATGATAAGTTTACTGGTCATTTCAATAATAGATTAACCATTTCACTTAGATTTCATTTCGCGTTACGATTCTGTCGTTGCGATTTTCATTTCGCGTTGCTATTCTCTCGTTCCGATTTTCAAGTTAGTATTTGTCTTTGTCTTTGTTCTGTCTTTTGGTTGAAGTAATGCAATCCATTCAAGTTTCAATTTGCAGAAGAGTCGCAACGAGATAAATGAAAATCGCAACGAGAGAATGACTGTCGCAACGAGAGAAATGAAAAGCGCAACGAGAGAATCGCAACGCGAAATGAAAATCGCAACGCGAAACCAAAATCGCATTGCGATTTTCATTTCGCGTTGCGATTCTCTCGTTGCGATTTTCATTTCGCGTTGCGATTCTCTCGTTGCGATTGTCATCTCGCGTTGCGATTCTCTCGTTGCGATTTTCATTTCAACCAAAAGACAAAACAGTGTTGCAAATTTTAGTTTCAAGAATAAACTACTACTTTTTATGTTTATTGTTTTTGGTATATCTTCACAGTGTAGTTTTTGGTATATCTAACTTGGTATGTTTATTGTTTTTGTAGAAATTTTTTTCGGCTCAATTGACCTTGAGAAATAAAGTCAGCCTGGCCACTACAATTGCAAAGAAGCTTTCACCTGCTCAAAGACAATTGTTTGAGGAAACCTGCTTCGGGCCATGGCTGAGAGTACAGCATCCGGGTGGAGATGCTAATTTGACCCATTTGTGGCTTCAGACCATGACATCAAATCTACCCGACAGTATACAACGTGGTGAGGAAGAGATATGGTTTCATTTTCCACCAGCGTATACTTGTTTTGGGCGGAAGGAGTTCTGCTTAATCACTGGTCTACGATTCGGACACGATGATGTAGGCCGGTACACTCGTCATATCGCCCGCCCATCATGGTTATCCTGGGTTTTTCCGGATGAGTCAATGGAGAAGCCGAACCTACATGTCGACGACCTGAAGAAATTGTTTAATAAGAAAGCTGGTTTCACTCGGATGGATGACGTCGATGTTGTCCGAGTATGCCTTCTACTACTTGTGTATGCCGGCTTTTTAGGCAGAGAGGCCAGACAACCTATTCATCGGGAGCTAATAATATTGGTAGAGGACCTGAATGCATGGAATCTGTTTCCGTGGGGTTCGTATATATGGAAAGCTACCTGGACTAAGTTGTCGTCTGCCTTTGATGACCGCAAAAGTTTGCGGGGCGATGGGTCCAAATACACTTTGTCAGGCTTTGTTTGGGCCTTTAAGGTAAGAATTTCTATATAATGTTTCTAAAATTATAATTAATTATTTAACAATTACTAATTTTGTTATTATATTGTTTGTAGATTTGGATATTCGAGGCTTTCCCCAGCATGCGTACATATGCAATAAAAACGTCAAATGATATTCCCAGGGCTATTTCCTGGAAGAGGAAAACTCTGTTGGATTGGGAAGACTTAATACCATATGCCACAATAAATAATGTAAGTTAACACAAATACTTTCATATAATATATAAACAAGTTATTAATAGTAGACGTTTAACTTTATTTGAGTTTTTATATTTTAGGAGGCTAACATTCCATTACAAAGACTGACACCCACGGAGGAAGAGCTTGCCACTGATTGGTGGCAAGCTAGTCAGAATTTTTTTGATGGCACGGATGATGAGCAGCATCCACTTCCTCCAATTCGAGAGCCATCACCTCACCTAGAGCCATCACCCGATCGACCCGACTATACACCTCTAGAACGAGAGCCATCACCTATCCCGTCACATCATCGAGCCTCTTCTCCACCATCACCTCATGATAGGCGACCGGCAAAGATGCCACGACTCCTATCTCCCTGTTCTCCACCTCCACCTCAACGGGATGAGTCAAGGGAGTTACGTGATGAGGTCAATGCCTTGCGTGAGGAGATCGGTACTCTACGCGATAACGATGGTGCATGGCGTGTGGAGGTGTCAACTTTACGTGGTGAGGTTGCCGCTCTACGTGAGATGATAGTATCGTTGCAGAATGAGGTTCATACTCTACGCAACGAGGTAAGTTTAAGATTTTCCATATTTAACTTAATGATAAATTTACTCGTAATTTCACTTAGATTAGCCATTTCACTTAGATTGCTTAGTAAATTTATTCGGTTGCTGCCAATTCTGCTAAACTGTGTATTCTTTAACACTGTGAAATAGTATTTGTCTTTGTTTTGTCTTTTGGTTGAAAGTAAATTTGTTCGGTTGCTGCCAATTCTGCTAAACTGTATATTCTTTAACACTGAAATAGTATTTGTCTTTGTTTTGTCTTTTGGTTGAAAGTAAATTTGTTCGGTTGCTGCCAATTCTGCTAAACTGTGTATTCTATAACACTGTGAAATAGTATTTGTCTTTGTTTTGTCTTTTGGTTGAAAGTAAATTTGTTCGGTTGCTGCCAATTCTGCTAAACTGTGTATTCTTTAACACTGTGAAATAGTATTTGTCTTTGTTTTGTCTTTTGGTTGAAAGTAAATTTATCCATTCAAGTTTCAATTTGCAGAAGAAGAAATAGTTTACTTTCGCAACACGAAACTTAAAATCGCAACGCGAAATGAAAATCGCAACGACAGAATCGCAACGCGAAACCAAAATCGCAACGACAAGATCGCAACGCGAAACCAAAATCGCATTGCGATTTTCATTTCGCGTTGCGATTCTTTCGTTGCGATTTTCATTTCGCATTGCGATTCTGTCGTTGCGATTTTCATTTCGCGTTGCGATTTTGGTTTCGCGTTGCGATTTTAAGTTTCGTGTTGCGAAAGTAAACTATTTCTTCTTCTGCAAATTGAAACTTGAATGGATAAATTTACTTTTAACCAAAAGACAAAACAAAGACAAATACTAACTTCAGGGTATTAGTTTGAAACATATTTTTCTTTGTTATCTGATGCATTTTGTGAACTATGATAGAATAATGACTTGGGTGAATACAATGCAAGTTTGAAACATATTTGTCTTTGTTTTCACTGTTTAAATATCATGTCTGTTTATTTACTGATTTTGTATTTAATTATTTAGCGGCCCGATAGAGTGGATGCTTTACGTCGGGTTATGCTTGCACGACGGAGTTCACGCATCAGACAGCGTGCACGTGCTATTAAGTCTCCGTACACCCCAATAGTGCGAAGACACCGCAAGAAGAAGCCCGACTCGCCTGTCATCCCTCAAGAGTCCACTCCTATCGTTGAAGAGGCCCCCCCTATCATTCCTCGAGAGTCCCCTCCCACCGTTCAAGAGGCCACTGTCATCATTGAAGAGGTCCCTCCCACCATTCAAGAGCCCGATTCACATGGCGTCATATGTAGGCTTCTTGAGAAACCCTCTGACGTGCCGGACATGATGGATTCAAGTTGGCTCTTGTATGAGTTACCGGCCAGTACCATACCGGTATCTGAAGAGGAGAGGGAACAACTACCGGACACAATTCTGGATAACACCCTTTGGGCTAAGACCGCTGTTGATTTTTATCTACATGAGCGGAGCCAGGGGTGTTTCACTGACATATGCAAGCTCACCGATGATATCTATTTGTTGCTTGATCGGTCTTGGTGGGGCGTATTATTAGGGGTCGAAGACAATGGCTATTTCGATGGGGGGGTAAGTCTTATATTTTTCTTATATTTCAATTTGATTAATTTTTTTTTTTTAAATTTATGTAAGTCACTAATATATGTCTTTTTTTGTAAAATAGCATATCGATGCGTGGGTGACACGTCTTCTAATAATAAGAAAACTTAAGAAAAATAAAAATATACGATATACAATTATGCCGACGTCTTTTCACGCCGTTCACTTGAAGAATGCACGAGATGAATCATTTGATTTGGGCAATGGACAAGCTAAACTTTATCCTGCATGGTGGGAGGTCGATAAGGTTAGTATTTATTTTAGATTGAGTTTAAAGGTTTTATGAAATAAGTGCGCAAATGAATGAATTATTACTTATGATTGCAGGTGTTTATCCCTGTTTTGGAACGTAAACATTGGATTCTCGTCGAGCTTCAGCTCCCATCCCTTAAGACAATAGTGTATGACAGCATGATAAATTACATATCATTGGCTGATTTAAGAGATGTTATTAAGGGATGGAGCTCTCATTTGGCTAAATTCTTGG